TCCAGATATGCGATACTGAAAGCCCGAGTTCACGCAGCTATGCGTCTAGTTTAAGATAGAAATCAGTTGACCAAGATGTAAAGAAAGAGGTTAACATTATTACTGATATACTTTACAGTTTTACATGTTAGGTTAAGGATGTTGAGGGATTGGTTTCGGAGAATCAAACTATCCCATGGTGGCTTTCCAGTTCAGAAGCAGTTCAGTTTGACAAAACAATGTTTCAGTGATCGTGTCAGCGGTAAAGATTCAGGACAAGAAATTCAGGTGAGATGCTGGGAGTGAAATCGTGACGTGAGTTCCCTCCTCAGTGTAATGGAGAAATGATGGATTTGAAAAACCTGAATCTGCAACGACTCGCAGGCAATATCGACCAAAGAAGCTGCAAGGGACTTCGAAGGTTCTTAACACTCGCTGAAACGCCTCATCCTTTCCAGCGTGACCATTATTTGAATTGGATGCATCAGTGAAATAATCTCACCCAAGTAATTGCCTATAAATAGCAGCCCGTTTTTGAAGGACACAACATCTCAGGATTGAACAGAATGTATGTCACGGTAATTGCTAACAACTTGGAGAACAGTGGCCCTACTTTAGGTTTCAACACTCTTTGTGCCCCACCTGCGATGAAGATTGAGGGAAGTTTCTAGGTTGTTCTGGCTGTTGAACTATTCTGTCATCTTACAATGGCCTTGTCATGCTCAACTCCTTTATATACATGATTACCCAAATATGAAATTGATGACTAGTATTGATTAAATCTTCAAATTCCTCTGAAAATTTCGTCCTACTTTGAATGGTGTCCTGCTCTTGGGGTGCTGATTTCTTATTATCACTTATTTTCGCGAGACTTAATTTTCGCGATTTAAAAAAATTGGCGAAATTAAAGTCCCGCGGAAAAAAGCTGCCGCGAAAATTAAAGACGCGAAATTTAGAGATCTTTATATAATCCTTTATTTAAGCTTTCCGTCTGCTAGGAGTTTACATACGAGTAGGACGGCTCAAATTTCAGTTCAACGCGTGCCCTTATTCCTCATCATTTGACTCATCTTGCTTCTATTAGCCCTTTTAAAAGATGTTACTAAGTTGCTGACACTGTTGAACATTTAAGCCAGTTGTTTGTTGCGTTTGAGCTTTCTATTCCCTTATGGTTAAATAAAATACAGAAATGGAAGTTTAAAAATCGAGCACCAGTTACTTGATTCGCGAAATTGAATTACCCTCAAAAACGTTGATTTGTCAAAATCGCGAATTTTAAATCCCGCGAAATATTCTTATTCCAAACACGCGAAATTAAAGTCGCGCGAAAATAAGTGATAATAAGGTAGGTCTACGAACCGAAAAATTTTGTCTGGCATAATATTTTTATTGTATGAGTTTTTTTTTTTCACACATTTTATACATATTTTGTTTGCAGAGCATTTTCCATTTATGCATAAGCATCTGACTTGAGAGTCTGGGCGACGACTCCCCATCGCGCAGAATTGTGACACATCCGGTATATTTACGGCTGCAATGGCGCTAAATTTAAAAGACCGAGACGACAAATGACATGACACAATGAAGAAAAATGGCCGCAATAGGCAAAGGACCCCTTGCGTTCAATTTTTCCACAGCTTAAGTATCTAAAATATCAAATGAGTTGCATATGGCCTCGAAAGAAAAGATTTTCATAATAGCGTGACCTACTTTGGGTAAATTTCAGTATGGGAAATAGGTGTATGATAACTTTGAGGCCAAATTTCTTCTAAATGAAAATAATCAACACGTTGGGTTGCATATGGATGTTTTCTTAAAAAGTATAAAAGGGCTCATTCAACATATGAAGGGAATCCGATGTCGAGAAATAGCATGAACTCCTGCACTTCTAGAGCAAACATTTTCTCTCTGATTTCTCGCCGTCCCAAGGGCCGTTGGGAGTTGAACTGATTCATTTTGAATAAAGGGTGGAAGTTTCTAAAGAAACTGTGGTGCTGTGTCGGTGGGGGTAACAAGGTAATTTGGCTATATCAACTAGGTTGAAATTGTAAATTGGCCACCGTAAAGAGTTATAAAGCTACGGTGGCCAATTTACAATGATAAATTGTAAAAAAGTACATGACAGGAACTTTTATGGTGGCCAATTTGCAATTTTAACTTAGTTGATATATGTATCTGAGAACGATCCTTCGCAGTAAAGCACTATTTGAGCAATAGTGGAAATCAGACCTGAAAAAAAATTCAGGCCTGTACGGGATTCGAACCACTGACCTCTGCGATACTAGTGCAGCGCTCTACCAATTGAGCTAACAAGCCAACTGGGAGCAGGCCATCAAATTAATATAACCAAATTACCTGATTCATTTTGAACCTCGCACGTGTATATTAATGACTGTAAGCTCCGCCTTTATGAACAATGACAATGTTTCGCCTCATTTATCTACTTATTTAAGCACGAAATCAGTAATGGCTGTGAAATGGCGGTCCATTTTTGAAATTTAAAACATGATAAGAACCGTTTTACATAAGTTAAGAGCAAAAAGACAACGTAAAAAAATACGTACGCACGCACGCAAATAGCACGGGCTATACGTCTAAAGAAAGTTAACGGGCAATGAAATTTATCGTCCGTTCTCTTAGCGTATGAGAGACTGCGATAAACGAAGGCTAACATTTTGTGGTCCGGCGAGTTTTGTTTGAAAAGTATTTAATTGAAAGTAATAAGCGACGTCATTGCTTGCGTAAATTTCGCAACTGTATCTAGTGCGTTGAGACCAGTTAACTTAACCATCTTCATTTACATTTCGACATCAGATAAAGTTAACAGTTGTCATTTTTCAGTAAATTCATTACTCATCCTCTGTGGTTAAAAAACTTCAGGTTCCCCACAAAGGAAGTTATCGTCTGAAAGACTGCGACAACAGGAGAAAATGGGCTGAACAAGTTACTTCCGTGTCTCTAGCAAACGTTGGACAGTGGTGGGATCCTAAACTGTCCCAAGGGTATACAACTGAAAATCTCAAAGGGAACATAGAAAATCCGATAGGACTTGCTAAGATCCCGCAGGGTATAGCTGGGCCTTTGCTCATCAAAGGAGATCACGTGCACAATGAAAAGATTCTGTGTCCTATCGCTACAACCGAAGGGGCGATTGTCGCCTCTACGTCAAGGGGTGCTAAGGCCATCACAAGGTTAGTTGCAAAGACATTTAACGAAGGTTACGTCATCATGATGCAAACCTTGCAATTTTTCATTTGAACATTTCAGTGTTATCACATATCTCCTCGTGTCTGTCTGAACAAGGTCGACCTTAATCTCACTATTCTTTAAAAGACTGACAAGCGATAAGGACTATTTGCCTCGGCAAAGAGGATTTTCTATATGCAATGAGGCGGGGGGAGGGGAGAGAGAGGCGAGAATTTGCGACGTATAACCATTAAGGAGGAAATGCAACATTCGTAATTGTTTCCTGCCACAGAAATCGAGAAGAGCTCTCCCAGGCAGCTATGCGAGTCATTCTCATATACTTTCTCCTAATATGCCTTTTTTTTCATAAAGAAAATTTATGTTTTCATTCCGCCCTTTACAGACCTAGCCAACACCTATCCATTGTGCTAAAGCTTGTCTTCATAGACCTATTTCCTCTACTTAAGGTGCGGTGGGGTCACCACGCGCGTCATAAAGCGCAGGATCCAAAGAGTGCCATATTTTGGTACAGATTGCATGCATCAAGCCCACAAACTGTCACACTGGCTTATGTCTCATTTTGACGAACTGAAAGCCAAAGCTGGTGAGGTCAGCCAACACTGCAAGCTTCAGTCTCTGCAGCCCTGGTTTGTTGGTAATGCTGTGACCTTATACAATTGCTTACTCGTACAAATATGTGATAGCTTGTTATTTGATGTTTATTATTCCTTTTACTCTGAAATATCACTAACGAGTCAATTGTCGCGGGCATGAGAAGAAGTAGCTTAAGGGGGGAAATTCGGGAAATAAAGTTTCATTCCACAAAATAAATATTTTTTTTACTTAAGACAGTTTTAAGCTTAATTTGCACCATTATCGATGGACAAAGAAAATTTACGACTGCTCGAATTCGAAACTCATGTAATTCAGACTTGTGGTGTGATGACTACAGGGATCAGAAGAGGTATGGTGAAGTCCTAAGTTGGCAAGTTTAGCCTCATGCTAGTTTTATTTGTGACAAGCGGCCCGCTTGGATAGTTTACAATATTTTTCATAAAGTTATGAATTTAGTGCGGAATTGTTGTGATCAAAGGATTGTAAAGAAGTGGAACACTCTGGAAATTTTAGGTCGCAATCTTCTGATGGAATTTGTCTACGATTCTGCTGATGCCGCAGGCCAAAACGCTGTCACCGTTACCACTTGGCACGCTTGTAACTGGGCCAAAGAGAGGATCGCTCAAGAGTGCCCTGACATCAATATCCGGGAATATTACATTGACACTAAGTTCAGTGGCGACAAAAATAACATTCCCAAGAACTACATCACTGGGCGAGGAATTGAAGTTCAAGCCGAAGCTTATATTACCGAGTCGACCCTTAAAAGTGTTTTTAAAGTAAGTGGATGCGCCTCGTATCATCATCGCTCGCTGAAAGATTCATTCACGTGAAAATACTAGGCCTTTTTTGACGTATCGTGGATACTAGTTTTTTTTAGGTTCACGAAAACATCGAGGCAATCACATACTTGGCAATAACTTTTCTTGGGAAATCAAAGAGTATCAGTTACGCTTTACAAGCAAATTGCAGAGGACTGTCCTTCACCTTTCAGCTTGTTTCGTGACCTAAATATCCTGAGTTCCAACTGTAACACCAGACGGATACTAAATCATGAATTTCCTGACGATACTGTAAAGTAAAAAAATAAGTAAAGTCTGTTTACGAGCCTAGTGGCCCATTAGGCCGCTGCTTAACTCCGGTTTCTGTAGCATGAAGCGAGTAGGAGTATTCTTCTTCTCCCTGGATGGGATGCTAGTCCATCGCAGGGTTACCCCCAGCATTAAATTGCCGGTACCCATTTATACACCTGGGTGAAGAGAGGCAATGTGAGAGTAAAGTGTCTTGCCTAAGAACACAACACAATGTGTCGGCCGGGGCTCGAACCCGGACCACTCGATCCGGAGTCGAGCGCACTAACCACCGCGCCTCCACGATACTGTAAAAGTAATAGGTTTAATTTGTTAAGGTTCTCGCTCACAATACTCCTTACCATGCTCGCAAGACACCGTCTTTGTTACTTTCTCTAATACCTCTTTGCACACATCAGATTGACTCCAAGAAGTTGGTTAAAGCTTTTAATGCACTTGCATTAAGTGGGCAGAGGTCTGGGTCCTATGGTATTAATCAAGTAGTCAGCAACACATTGGCCGCCATATTTACAGCAACTGGACAGGACATTGCCTGTGTTCATGAGAGTTCTTGGTCTGTGTTTGAGATATCACCGGAAGAAGAAATACAGTTAACGACAACTGGGCAAGGTAAGATAGCAGGATTGTCTTTATATGGATTTGATCATATACAACCCCCTCAAACACATTGGTTGGAAACGCGCTAATTTTTGAAAAATTTAACCGGTAATGACAATGCCAGAAATGCCAACACGATATCCTTCCCCAAGAGGAAACCGATTCTCTGTTGGAAATCAGAGAATTTTGTACTGAATGAGAATTGAATTGAACAATGAAACATAAAGCGCCATGCTAAAGAAAAGGCGTCCCACTGGCGCAAAGATTTGAGGGCCAAACTGTTAATCAGGAGGTGCTTATGTGGTTGTGTTTTCTGGGGTGATATTAGACTCTCACGTCGTCTCTCCAACCAGAGTCTAACTTGGTACCGGAAAACTGTCAGAGCACCTTTAATTCTGCCGAGTAGTTCTAGTGTTCACATTTTACCCGTTATAAAATGGATGTTCAGAAAAGGAGAACCACACCTACCTGGTGTGATTTAATCGTTTTGCTCTTGCTTTTCATGAACTGTAATAAGTGACGTAACTTTTCAATTTGATTGACATGGAGACCAACCTTTGTTATTTTAGGGTATGCTGGGATGAAAAGTGAACCAGGTATCTATGCATGTCTCGTTCTCCCAACCCTGTTGATTGGAACAGTGGGAGGTGGAACATACACACCGACTGCCAAAGAATCACTGAGCATGCTGGGATGCCTTGGAAAGGTGATAGAGAGGCTCTTGATTTCATTTTTGTGTCTTGCATTTAATAGTCAAGTTACTAAACATTAATCCTTAAAAAAACTGCAAAAATTTTCAGTGTAAACTACTGAGATATTTCGGAGGCGTCGTGTGATTTTGAGAATATTTTACTTCCAAGGTAGACCGTTCTTTTCCCATCACGATCGCGTGGTTTTTTCTGGCGGCAAATTTCTGACAATCCTGAACACTTTTTCTGAACAGTTCTCCATTCAGTGCTAGTGAACTTGATCTATTTATATTTTCACTACCAAATCTAATGTAAATTTCTATCTTTCAGGGTCGCATTTATCGCTTTGCAGAAATAATCGCGTCATTTGCACTAGCGATGGAAATATCTGCGTTGTCAGCGATAGCCAGTGATCAGTTTGCAAGTGCGCACGATCGACTCGGAAGAAAACGACCGGAATAAACGAGTCAACCTGAACCTTCTGTCTCACAAAATCTTTTTTGATCACTGCATTAACTAAAAAAGTGATTGTTGTGACGGATAAAAAAACTATTTTCAAGATATACTGAAGAATGATGATTTACAAACTATCACAAATTGTAACTTAATACAATCATATAATCTTACTATTCATATAAAAGGAACAAAGGATACAAGAAATAATTTTAGAGATAAGATCTAAAGCTTAAAAGGAAAAAGCGGGGTACGGGAAAGTTTTTAAACTTGTTACTTTTTAAAGCGTGCTCAGCAATATTCTTACAGCTAAGTACATGGCAGTGAAATCGTGATTTTTCAAAGAAATTCATCGCTTATTTTGCTGGATCAGTAAAGCCATCATCAGTAACTTTTTTGGACTTTTTAGCAAAGAAATCCTTTAACCAGGCCTCTACGTCATTCTCATTTGTTTTTCGCCATTGTATATTTGCTTTCACTTTTTCTATCGACTGTTGAACGCTCCACGATAAGGGTCCATCCTTATGTACTTTTTCGATAAAATCAAGCAGCTGCAAGAAAAAAGGTTAATAGAGCTGTAATTAGAAAACAAATTTGTAACTTTGTCGATTAGTGTATTTTTCTGGTTCTTTCATATGAAGTTTGTTTAAATCTGACTGAAAGCCATGGCTCAACATACCCCCAAAACTCATCAAGCCGTGAGTTTGAAAGTAAATTACAGTAAACACAACTTAGGAGGGAGACTACATGGTAATAAATGGTACAGCACTTAAGGAAAGAAAAAATAATAATCTCTCCTTTTACAAATTTCTTTCAATTTATTTCCCTGCCCTTTTTTGCGTTTGGTTCCCTAAGATTTAACCATTACCAAAAGGGTAAGTTGTCAAGTTTACCTGCTGTAACTCAAAATCTGTAGAGAATCGCCTGGACACGTAAGGAATGAAACGCCTTAAAGTCATATACGAACCTCCATACCTACAATAATAATTAAAATTTTATTTTCAAATTAAAGTTTGATAACTGATATACACTGATATACAAATTGATTTTCTCGGGTGAGCAAGAACAAAAATCTTTGCTTACTGGAATTTACATAGAGAGCGAGATCACCAGTTTACACTTAATGCAAATTGATTGTCAAGTCCATTTTTAGTATCTTGCAAAGGATTTTTACAGTATTCCTTTTACCTCATACTCACATTTTGGATATTACATCCCATTTAAACTGAAAGAAACTCCACACCACGTTGGCGCCCATTTCATTACTCTTAGCTATGTAGTACATTACATAGAATAGATTGCGGGGCGAGATTTTCAAGGGATCCAAAGCGTACTCTAGGTATCTGAAAATGAAAAAAAGTTGAAAATAATAGGTTTGAGCAGTAAAATAAGCTTCATTGAGCTTTTCCGAGAAAAACCGAGAGGATCGTGAGCGTCATTCCTTAGCGCAAAAAATCAGAACAAAAACATGGATTTCTACATAGATAAATATTTAAGCAGCCCAATTTAGATATTTAAAAAAATCAGTTTTGAAAACAGACTCAGTTCGAAACTTTGGGAATTTTGTATTGAGTAAGCTTGGCTCATTACTGGGAACCTCGAAGCTATGTCTTTTGTTCATACCTCGAATTGGGCTGTTAAACACCTTTATTATAGTTAGTTACCTTACTTTACAAGGATGGTCCAACCTTGTCACTCAGTGATGATATCTCCAGAAAATGAAGGGTTTGGTTAGAAATCCAGCTAACACCAGGATTAATTTTCTCCGAAAAAAGCGACTAAATTTTCTGAGCCTTGAAAAGTAGTACAGTTTATATCGTATGTGTTTCCTTTCTTTATCGTAGCAACTTTCATGAAAAAGCAAAAAAAAAAACATAAAAAAAAACCCCGCGGGAAAAACATGAATAACTGGCATAAGTGCTAATACAATTATAAGGATCCATGGAAATGCTCCAAAAGCTGTAATTTGAAAATTGATCAGCATTTACCTGTGAATAATCCAAGGCTGTTGTGATCCTGCCATGGCGTAGAGCAGTGTATTTTTATCTGATATTACATTCGTAGTTTTAAACTGATCGAAGGCGAAGTTCCATTCCCTCTCTCATCCTGTTACTATTCCAAAATGGTAAACTAGGGCTTTGAGATCCGCTGGTACACTACAAAGTGAAGCCGTCCAATAACATATAATTAAGTAAGGCAGTGATGAAAAGGGCAGGTCAAATATTTGCTTGAAGTTACAGACATCTGACTCAATGTTCAAATCTTCGTATGACATTGATATCCCGACAGGGAAAGAGGCACTGATCCAAACTCAGCTAATTGAAAGTCACAGCGCTGAGAGAGATACAGATCATTGAAAACCTGACGATGCGCCGGAATATGAATTGAAGAGTAGCATTATATGAAGCTTTTTTAAGTGCCACATGGCATGAAGGAGATAGGTGAAGGTGATTATATGAAACTCATCTCCTGATGTGTCTGTGCTTTAAGGGTTTGCGCAATTACAAAGTCGCATACTTTCCGGTACAATCCACTGAAAGAATAGCGGGAGCATACGAGAATTATCGGAGAGCAAAAAACTCACAGAAGAGAAGATCTGGTTAGTCAGCAGCTTCAACAAGAAACTGTTCTAAATTTATAAATGTAATGCAGAGTACTCACGCATTTTTGACTGGGTCATTCATCCAATCTTGAAACATTTTCGTCATATTTCCTAGACATGACCTGACTCCAGCCTCACAGTTAGCATCCAGGAGAATTGTTCTTAGAAATCTGGAAAAACAAACAAAATACACTGTACTGTTGGTGTGTGCCTTCTAGCCAGAACTTTAGCCTAACAACGAGGACAAACCTGCATTTCTCTAAGAGTAAGCTCTTTGTTTCATAAGTTTCTAAACTGAACTATCAAGAAAACGATTACAAAGCAGTGGAAAAGGATTGATAAATTGATTAATGTTAAATAATCATCTAAAAATAGATCAATGAATATGTGGATGTATGAATGAATTCATGAATAAATGAATGGATTCAAATATTCCTATACTTGTCAAGATGTGTTCCTTGATCTTTGATTCCAAGCTTGATGTACTGAGTTTTTGTTAAATATTCCACGTACATCTAGAGATGAAAAGAACAGCCATTTTTTAAATAGCACTGAAGAGCTTTGCAGAGAAGTGTGTGGCTCTTGTATATCGTGTTAAGAACGGATGAAATAATGACATCGAAGAGCTTGCCTTCTTCGATAGGAGAGAAAATTGTAAGCTACACGACAGCGGAATTTATCTTCTTCAAAGGCTGCCGATGCCGAGCCATTCTTCATCTTGACCCTATATAGACCTGTATACCCTTCAAACTCATTTTAATGCTACTGAAGACGTCTTTAGGTAAGCGCTAACTAAAACCGCCCGCTAGACAATCCAGAACCTTAACTTGGAAAAGAAAAGACTGAATAATTAATAATCTTCACCCGCAAATATTTGTGGGCTGGTTGTGTGGATGGAACGATCTCCAATATATATGAGAATTTTCTTAAGGCAGATAGCAGTGGAACGTATTCCTCTTCCTTGTCCAAATAACTTGATATACTCAGAGGTTTCGTGTGATTCAATAGGTTGGCTCTAAAATAAAAAAAAAAAAATAGCTGGAACATATTTTTTTAACTATAGCGCTCAACACACTTTACAACTAGGCATGCTATTAACTCGTTCACATCCGAGTCCTTGAGATAAATTCTCTCCATTGTCTGCCCTTTTATTCAATTTAATTTCGGACAATTTGGTGTTTGATAAAAGAGAAAGGTTTGCTCCTAAGAATAGAAGGGTTTAGAATCATTTATCCGATCACAATCTCCCTTTCGAAGGAGACTCTTAAAACAGACATTTACTCAGGTTCTGATAGGAAAACACCCATATCACGCATAAGACACTTATAAAGTAATCAGACAAACGCAACCTAAAACCGGTGCAACTTTCGTTAATAATCTACTATATAAGGTGAATTTACGGATTATAACTTGTTCACCTGGCTAAGTTGAAGGAATCATCGATAAGCCCGGCGCGATCAGTGGTGTTAAACACCTGTAAGTAATTGAATGGTCATTTATGCAGATAGGGTTTTTGAAAATTACGTTTTCTTTGTAATGCTTTTACTACACAGCTTTAAGTATAGATCATGCTCTCGCCTAACAAACTGACAAATTGCGATTGAGTAAATTGTCCATGCCAGTTTATTGTGTGAGGATGGACTCTGTCCAAATAGTTCTTTTTACAGTTGTGGGCTTGGTGGCCAAGCCTTTGAATAGGAGTGAGGCTTAGGGTGACCTTGTTATGATAGAGATGTTGCTGCTTTTCAAATGAAAATTACTTTGTTATCATGCTAACTAGATACAGGTGTCTATCACAACAGGGTCACCCTTAGCTTCACTCCTGTTGAAAGGCTTGGCCCCCAAGCCCAAGCCCACAACTGTAAAAGGGACTATTGACAGTCTATGACAACGCATTTGACTGCAACCTTCATGTGGCGTAAATCAAGTGTAATTTGCCAGTTTTAATACATCTTTATAGTTAGCTAAGTCGTTCAAAAATTTGTTGTTGCTGGTGTGCTGTTTGTTGTTGACATCTGAAGAGAACTGGCTAATGACTAGTGACAAATACAAATAATTCCCTTATGAGTAACTGACTGATTAAAATCGATTAACAGGCCTAAGTACAAACGTTTAAATCATCTTTCTGCTAAATAAATCCAACTTGAGTTCTAACGCATACTTTACCTTATAATTATTTTCAAGCTGCTTAGCCAGCATATCCCAGTTTTTTTCTTCGTAATTGACACGATAGAAACCAGTGTGCCCAATATTTCCTTTTATCCAACCATTTCCATCCCAACTCAAACTAACTGCAATACATTGATTTCAATTAGTAACCTTGCCGAAAGTGCTTGCATTATAACCATGATCCCACTAATATTTCTTTTATAGCACTCTTTACCTTTATAGCATTAATGATGACCATCTTCCACATGAAGCCAAACAAAAACTCCTCACAAATTAATTAAAGAACAAGAGTTAACAAGGAATAAGTCCTTGCATTTCGGCTTAAACCGGTCTGCCACACTGGAACGTGGCGCTATATATAGTAAAAAAAAACCAGAAAACATGGGTGTCTCAGGCTATCTACCTGATTCTTTGTCTATTATTGTCGACATTGTATCTGTTGGGGGATCATTAAAATTGCTTGATCCAGTGTAGTAGGTAAATGGAATCACCCACTTGTAACTAAAACAGAACAGAATTAGATTCAGGTGAGTAGTTTGCAAAGCAGAGCGAAATAAAAAAACATTATATATTGATTAAACAGGGAGACACTTAGAGCAAGTCTGCAGGGAGAAAAAATCCGACGTAAGGTTTAGTATGCGATTTTAATACGCCAATTAGATGTAAATGAAGAAAGAACATCACCTGAGCTCTGCGCTGTAAATGGATTCTGAAACAATTTTCAGGAACTTTAAAAGAATTTGACCTAAAGTTCAAATTTTGCAAACATTTTTGTCCCTTCTCTCACCTCGTCTTAGGGTACTCAGTTGAAGCAAGCAATGAATAATGGAGTATTTTACATTCCTCACCTTATATGAAACTTCAATCATGAAAAATCATATGAATGATCCTGCTTACTTGTACGGGGAAGACGAATAGTTTCCTTTTGGATCTTTGTAATAAAGAAAACGGTTTTGGGTTGCTTGATATGTGTTTGGTGCATCTGTGGATGTTATGGTCACCACAGGGTACCCCATCTGGAGCGTGAAGGTGTTCATTAGTTTGCCTACGTCCATCGTCTTTCCAGCAGCCTTACTTGCCTGTTAAAATGGAAACATTCAATTTGATTTTTTTATATCTGAAAATTATAAGTATATTTTACCACCATCTTTAAGATGTGCGACAACTTATCAATACTAATTATGCTGGTTAAGTACTGATAAGCACAATTCCTTTATGCTATTTGTAAACTAAAATTGTACATTCTTCAGTGCAAATGCAGTTGTTTCGCGTGCGCTCTGCAAATGAAGACAAACAAGTAAAGCGAAATGACGCTAAGCAAATTAGGAGACAAGTTACACGCACACACATGTCATTCGACTCAGAACTCCTGAGGATGGACAAATATATGGAGTAATTGAAGAGAAATTTGGAGTTTCCGGATTGGACATTCGTTACCCTGATTATTAGCCACGCTAAGGCTGCTGGAAAGGCCCTTTTCAGGGAACAGCGAGGCAAAACTCTGGCCTCTAAAGAGAATCTATTAAAAAGGAGAATACGAGAGTGTAGAAAAGTTTTGGTTCTGTGTTTACTTAAAAAACAATCTTCAAACCTCACCTTCGTCATTGCATCCCATAAGTCATCTGTTTCAGCATTTCCGTAAGCATGATCGGTAAGATATCTCTATAATCGACCGAGTAAAGACAATCCAATACACAACTTATTTCAAAATACAATCGATTTTCATCATCATGGAAAAAAATTGAAAAACAGCCGCAGTCTGTTGTTTAAAAGAAGGTTTTCAACGTAAATTTAAATTTACGTTTAAATTGGGAACGAGGACAATGAAAGAAAGATGCAAAGAACGCATTGAAAACGCACCTTTAATCCATCACGAAATATTTTGTTTCCCAAATAATAATGAAGCATTAATAGAATGGAAGCTCCCTGAGGACGAAAAAAGGAAGAGCTCAAAAATGATTATAGCTGTGCCGGGGTTACACCTGCTCCCGTAAATGGTGGTTTACAAAACGTGCTCCCTTGTGTAGGGCGCTTTTTTTATATTCTCTTAATATTACTTATACTATTCTTGGTTTTAACATGTTTATGGTTATGTGAGTTGAATCCCTGGCTGACTTTAGACTTGGCCAATGAACTTTTTGTTGTATTTCAAAAAACATATAATAGTAAACAGGCAAGCAGATTGGCAAAACAAAAAAAAAAAAACCAAACGAAACATAAACAATAACGATGAAATACAAAAAGTTCTGCAACACGTCACGCTAAAGGCTCAAAAACATGCACCTCAAACAACTGAAGCAGCTACGATGGACTACAGACTTTCCGAGCCTCCAATAAATATGGAAATTGCAGATAAGTATCGTGGGGTTTGAAATGTCATTGTGACTGAGGAAAAAGTGGCACTCTTGCTTCGAATTATCGTGAATTTCTAGAAACCAATTTCTTGGAATCGGATGAATATCAGGCAATGTATCCCAGCGACACAAGGTATTTCCCATTCTTCAGTGGCATATGGCTGGAGTTTGATTGGCAATTTGCTTGGCAACTTGCTTGGCAATATTTTGAGGAGAAAGTACAACTTCGAGAGTAAAAAAGTTACTATTCCAAACCCATAGTGATACCTTTTTGTACGAGATGGCATCAAAGATTTCTCCAATTTTTTGGGGATCTTCAACAGGAATCCTAACTGGGTGAGAACTTGCTAGTCCGTCTAGCTGCAAAGTTTCTTGAACTGTTGTGACGATAAACTGGTCGATCTAAAATATGGAAGGACTTTGTGGACAAAGATATCTTACTTTAAACTACTCTAATGACCTTTGAAATAGCGTCAAAGTTGAAATGATAAATTGGCCACCGTAACGATTACAAAAGCTGACGTTTCGAGCGTTAGCCCTTCGTCGGAGCGAATAGAGGAATTGTGGGTTGTGTGTGCTTTTAAAGGCAGAAAATGGAGCTACGTTATTGGTGGGAACATGGCAACGAGAAAAACACGAATAAATTAGTGGAATGAAAAGCGTTCGTTGATCCCTGTGGGATTTAGACTGCCGGTTTGAAAGATGAGCTTTTGTTCAAGNGCTTGTTAGCTCAATTGGTAGAGCACTGCACTAGTATCGCAGAGGTCAGTGGTTGGAACCCCGTACAGGCCTGATTTTTTTCAGGTCTGATTTTCGCTATTGCATAAATAGCGCTCTCTACTGCGAAGATCATGCATTATACGTATCTAATACCGCAGTTCAAATTATATGAACCTCATATATACATTGTATCTTACCATTTCAACTTTGTTGGTATATCCAAATTATTTCGTTACCCCCACCGACGCAGCCCCAAACAGTTTCTTTCGAAACTATCAGCCTTTATTCATTTGAAATAGCGTCGATGTGTAGAATACATTTTTAAGTAAAGAACTTACAATGTTCCATTCGGGATGTACGTGATCCATTCCGATCGAACTGACGTAAGTAGCAAAACCTTCGTTTAACCAGAGATCTGTCCACCATTCCATGGTAACAATATTGCCAAACCACTAGAGATAAAAATGGAAAAGTTGAAGAACTATGATATTAAATCTTCACTTAACATAACTTAGCAATTGTGAAAGTCATAAATATACATAGGGCAGAATTTTAAATTGTTACTATATGCCTACTTCCCCCCAAATAGTATAATGACCTCATTTTTACAAATATTCTCACAAAAAGAGGTTTAGAACGTCATCATGCGACACTTAGGGCAATGGCTCCGCAGGTAGGATAAAGGCACGCATCTTAAACTACAAAAAAAATGTACTGCTACATAAAACGGTTACGTGAACGGTTTATGTAATTTAGTAACCTCTGTCTGTGAACAGTACTCCCACAGTTTAGGAGTTTGGAACAGGAAGACCGCAAAACTTGTCCCTGCTTCTCGAGAAGGTTTCCCTTAAATACAGTTTTTTACCTGATGTCCAACTTCATGTGCCACCAGTTTTGCGATGCTCTCTTTCGACGAAGATGAAGTCTCACCCTCCATCAGCAGCAAATTCGTTTCACGATATTTGATAAGGCCCCAGTTTTCCATTGCGGAAGGGCCAAATACCGGAAGTGCGATGCCATCTGCAAGTCGATTTAACTCAAGACATTACTATGCTTGTGCTCTGAAATTAGTATTTTTAGCATCAAATGCATTATTCTAAATTCTCTGTGATTCAGTCACTTAAATAACGGATTAATAAACCTTAAATATGAAGCCAATAACCATAGGTCAGTCTTTATGAAAAGTTTTCCAACTGTCAATATTTACCTGACTTTGGTAATGTATATTTTATACCAAAGAAGTCTTCAAAGTAAATAAATGTCTCGTTTGACACTTTTAAAGCGTAGTCCGCCTGATCAAGAACATCTGGTCTTGTGTAAATTCTGATCTACAAGCAAACAAATAAACAAACACCACAGGTAACTGATCACGAATGGATTTCTTAATTTCTTTTGGTTGATGGAGGCTGAATGCGTGTCACTTAATATTCGTTTTGAGACTTTTCTCTTTAATTTTATGACAACTCTCCGTAACTAAGCAGCACTGACAAATGTACGCATTTGAACCGGGGGGAGCTACTTCCCGAACATTCTCCTAAATGAAATGAAACGATGTTTATACAACTTGCAAAGCAACCTCACGGGAAATTTTCAGTGAGGCTCTCTCGACGAAAAACATGGTGGTTAACTTTGGAAATTGCGAAACTTTGCCTGGCTGGTTATTTTTTAAAGATCTGAAGACGCTTTCCCATTTCATTGTAACGAGCTTTAGGCTGGAATCAATACTTATTAAGTTTATCTCTATCGGCTGATTCCTGACGGCCTTTACATTATGACACTTGCAAAACTAAATCAGTAAATAAAAAATTTTCAGGGATTTTCCTGTTTGTTCTTTATGAAGAAACAGAGCACAATTTCTGAAATAATGACAATGAAACGCTTACTTGTGAGGAAAGTTTAAATTTTGTTGATCCCGTTGCTTCAAAATTTTCATGTAGACACATTCACTCGATCTGCTTAAAACGTACTGTGGGTGTCATTTTCAATTGTTCTGGAGCGGTTAGCCCCACTTTAAGGTAAGCGTGGTTTCGTGTTTTGGTGATTCAATTAAATGGCAGAACTCAGTTACTATTTTGAAACTGAAACTGAAACATGTGAAACATGTACTTGTTTGAAAGTCAGGCGACGTTAGTTATGCCACCTGTAAACCATGAAGTACGTTCGTCAGCTATGTGGCGGAAACTTTTCTCAATAAAGACAAGAAGAATGGCAGCAAATAAATGCTTTATAAATTTTAGAGCGGCTCGAATAGCCTAGGAGCCTGTTAACAAGCCCGTGAATTGACTGCTTTGCAAGTCGAGACTTCACCGTTTCTCGGTCCCAGACCTCGTTGCTTCCCAATTCCCCTGCATTTGACGAAAATTGGATAAAGCATGCAAAATAAAGAAAAGAGAGTAGTTGACGTCTTTTCACGAGCCTGACCGCCCACATCACTGAAACTCGTCGCAGTTTCTATAGCGTAAATTACCAAGCTTTAAGTTTGGACATTCTTGCTTGGAGGAATACTGGTCTAACACACACTTTACTAATCAGCATTTTAAATGAAGTTCACTTAAGAGTTCGCTGCCTCCTATTTATACACTTTCCCTGAGAGAGGCACCTTCTCGCCCCAGAAATTAACTTAATGACCACCGTTTGGACTTAGATAAGAGGATCACGTAGCTGATGGTTAGCTGAGTCTATCCCCTATGATTAGAAAAGAAATAACTTATCAAACACCACTGCGAACCTGTATGCCCCTGTCTGTTTTAGTCTCCTTGTACTTAAAGTCACCAACAGCAAAGGCAGCTAAATAAGTAGACATAATGACAGTCCTTTCAAAGTGATCGTATTTCCATCCATCATCAATTTGACTTCGATAGATTGGCATGTTGGACAGAGCGACTAGATTAGGATCATGAACCAGAGTCACGTTAAAAGTCGCCTTCATTGCAGGCTCATCGAAGCATGGAAACGCTCTGCGTGCTCTCAAGGGTTCAAATTGGGTGGCGGTAAAAAATCTGAAAGGAAAGCAATAGCTTACATAATTTTACAATAACCACTGCTGAGCTTTACTTCAAGTGTTACGAGTTTGAATGGAAAATAAAGATAAATTGAAGCATCTTATTAGATAATCTATTTTTCTATTACTACTGGCAAAGCCGATGCTCTTACGATTCCTTGCCATTCTTGTCTATGAAGGAGGATTTGTACATTCCCCTTAGGTCTTTTCCATATTCTCCAGAGTATTCAAGTGTCGTAGTATATTGGCCAATATCCAATGACGACTCCAGCTCTGTGACGAGGAATTGGTTCTTTCGAAACTTGAAATATCGCTTTATCGGAACGAGTCCTTTAAGAAAACAGGTTTAAATGCATCAGTGGTATAATCATCATTCCCTGCCATATTTAGCTTGACATATATACATTTGAGGCATATCGGACAACCAATATTTCTAACAACATAATGTGACCCTCACTTAATAAGGCCGCGTTCTTTACTTTTTTGCCACCTTGAATTAAATCTTGTTTTCGATCAAGTTTACAAGACGCAAGTATTAAACTACACCTGACCAAACGGCTTGAAATTTGTACTATGGTGGAGATGGAAATAATGATTCTAATGACTTCAAAACTCATAAATAGCTGGTGTAGAAACATGGTCCTAAAAAAGTTATTTACTAATAGTGCTAATATTCACAGAGTTGAAACACCAGGATGCTTATTCTCTGGAGTTATATGTTTCAAAAGTTAACTCTTGTACTTTAATAAAGTAAAGTGTAGAACAAGGACCAATTAAGAGCGCACGATTAGCTAATCAGAGTCGAGAGGTTCAGATTCCGCCTCCTGAGATATTTCAAAAAAAGAAGTGTATCTGTTATTTTTTTTAAGTAAGATGATCGGCGTCAAACTTGCCACTTCAACCGCATAATGTCATCTTGACTCGGTGCCCGAATTAACGTGAATAAACCAAGATAGATGATATTTTTACATCTGTGCTCTTTATCTTCTTGTACCGGGTTAAACTGTTCAGAAAGTGTAGTGAGCTTTCCAGGTCGCCTAATCACCATATTGATATGTCCCGAATAACGTTTGTGCTTCTTGATATTTGGAAAGGAAAGACTCGCCACCATCTCATTTCATATCGATAATAATAATAATGATAATAATAATAATAATAATAATAATAATAATTCTTCAAAATATGCAGAAGGCTGTGATCTCGGGAACACTAAATATCTCTCGGACATTTAAAGTTGCAACATGAACAATGAACATCGCGTACTATTTAACTCTTTGCCTTTAAAAATTCTGTGGATTATTAGAAACTTCGGAAGTGATCGTCACTGATTAACTCTTTCATAGCCGAAATAAGTAATGGGTTTTTAAAGAATTTATAATGACTATTTTAGATTTGGATACCCGAAATAGCTTATCTTTTTTAGTTCTCGAGGGTTTTATTTTGTTTCTTTTGTTCAGTATATAGATTTTGATTTCACTATAGTTAACAGCTACGCTCATGCGCCCTGTCATACTATTCTTATTGTATATAGCATACAAAAGTTTTAATCTGCTGCATAATAATAATAATAACAATAAAAGTAAAGTATCGTCCACTACGATGGGAGTTACAAGAACGGTACCCTGGATATACAGTCCAGCAGCACAATATTATCATGGACGTGCCTGGGGGTTGGTCAAGGACTATGGAAGAGGGATTACGGAAGTTGTTGGGAAAAAAGACAAAAGATGTGCTGCGAAACATGCAGAAGTCTGTATTGTCGAATACGTTGAACATTGCGAGGACTTTTAAGATCATAACATGAACAGTAAAACTACAAACGAAACTTTTGAAAGGTTGAACATTATAAGAACATTACATAAGCATGAAGTTTATTCCTACGCATGAATATTAATTTGAAGGATAGTTTTAAACATTGAAGGAAATTTAAAATATTGAGTTCCGTATATTAGAAGATTAATCGACTTATGTAGAGAATTTAGTTTATAAGTTTAACAGTAATCTTATTCACAGAACGTGACTCAGTTGTTATGTATATTAATAATAGATTGTAAATTAGCGATGGTATATAAGTATTAGTTGTAGCTGAAATAATTTTCCATGCTAGCAAATAGGTGTTTATATTTTTTATAAGTGCAACGCTGTGTAGTTTCATAGGTTACGCTGTGCGCCTTGTGAAACTTTCTTTTCCTGGCATGCTGAAGTTCAATAAACTGCATAATAATAATAATCACCTGATGCTGAGGCATACTGGGATGTACCTGTATATGCTGATCATACATACGTACAATCTAATCGTGTAGATGCACGTTTCATCGACCGCAAAAACAAGAAGGTACTTATGGTGGAAATGAGCTGCCCTTGGATCAACAACAGAGACAAGAAAGACAGAGAAAAGACCAAGAAGTATGGAGCACTTAGACTTGAGCTGACAAAACAACACCCAGGATACAAGATCTCACAAGTAAACGTCATTATAGATGTACTTGGAGGATGGTCTAAAGCCATGGAAACTGAAATGAAGGGCTTCTTTGGTACAAGATACAAAGAAATATTGCTGAGAATGCAGAAAGCTGTATTAAGTAGCACTCTGAACATTGCAAGAACATTTAAACTGGTTACAGCGTAAGAATTTTAATGACATTATGATTTGGTTTTTATGAACAGGATTTTATGAACATTTTAAGTTAAGGATATTTTAAGAACCGAACAGTAAATCATGAACATTTAAAAAAAAAAAAAAAAAACATCTTAGTATTGGGCCAATTGACACTTTTATCGTTTTATATTGATCATTTATATTTAAGTAGTATTAGATATTATTATAGTTAACAGTCCTGTCATGCAGATAGG